GAGAGTTCAATTTCAATCTTTCACCACGAGGTGTGTTCCAGAGGACATATATAAACCACCCACTGTTAAAATACAGATCAAAAACTAATGCACTAGTTCCAGTTTCCAAACCAATAATAGCTAAATGGTCATATAAATAGGAACACCACAGGTGTCCTTCTGAGCACATGCCACCCTGAATAACAATTTATGTTGTGTGAAGCATAGCTGGAAATATTGGTAATAGAAACTGTGGTACAGGAGGTTAACAACACACCAAGTGGATAAGACTTAAAGCTCTTAATAAAAAAAAAAAATTAAAAAAAAAAAGTCTGTTAAAAAAAAAAGCCTTATCAAAATAAGATTTGAAATTCCTCAGCAATGCTTTTTAAGGAGCAAGGTTTCCACAGGTCCCAAGAACACACTTCAGTCTCTGAGCATCCATGGCAGGTAGACACAGTTCCCTGAGATGTTTTAAAGCATCAGGAGAATTTATCCACATCCCAGTTACAAAGGTGCTCAAATGTTGGCCTTCAGGTCTAACCACATCCAAATCAATGCTAGAAACACCAGCAAAGGGGCTCCAGCTGTCACATCACATCTCAGCAATGGGCAGGGAGCCCTGTACTGACCTGAGCAATGCTGCAGCCCTCTGCATCCCCGTGCCTCCAAAACCCTTCCTTGGTATTTTCATCATCTCTTCTTCTGTTGGTCCAAGGGAGGGGCCATAGACAACTCATGTGCTGAGGTGATGCTCCAGCACATGGAGGCTGTGCTGTGGTTATGACATGGGGACAAATTTCCCTGCACATCTCACTGTGGTCCCAAACTTTCAGGAGCCTGGGAACTGGAGGGGCTCTTCTGGGGGGTCACGCCCTGCCCTCTGCTCATCCAGGACTGGGGGATCGCAGCATTTAATTAAAGAAAGGCTGCCTGCTCTGGGATGCCTCCCAGCTTGTCACTGGCATTTCTGTGATTGACAAACAGGCAAAAATAGATTTGTTTAAGGATTATCTATATTGAAAACTGGACGCAGGATTTTGTCTTTGTAAACAGTGCAGTAATATCTGCTGTTTGAACAAAAGGAAGGGTATACTTTCCTTCCATTTAAAGCTACAAAAGCTCCCATATTTGAGTGAAAAGGGGAGACACTCTGTTTTGTTTATCCTGCCTGCTGAAGATTTGGGGATTTTTAAATAAGATCTGTGACTAAGGGAGCAGTAGGTTGATTTTCACTTTATTGGAAGGGTTATTAAAGAGCACATGGCATATGAGTTATTAGAGAGATGCATGTCCTTGAAAACAGCCCTTAAAGTCTTGCACAATTAGGAAAATTCAGAATGATCCAGCATATTTTCATATAGCAAGAAAAGTCACTTTGATGTATTGAGAAGCCAAAATGTAACACTGCATTGCTTTGAATAATTATTTTATTTTCAAAAGCCACATTTGAAGAGAGCTCTTTGTTACAGATGGGAACACAGCTACTTTCATGGACCTAAATTAGGCTACAGAGAAATAGCTCCTTCAAAATTAACACCCTTATTGATAGTTTCACTGTTGCTCAGATGGATGTTTCCCTACCATCTACCTACAAATAATACCATAGATGTTCATATATCAAAGGATCAAGTCAGTACACTAGCCATGTGTGTTGGTCAAGGGATGAATAATACACAGGATAAAAGACCTTCCCCCAAATATTTGTCAGTAAAATCTAATGTTTCTGCACAATACTGCACTGGCTGCTGTCCAAGGCTGGTGTTTTTATCCACAGAGCAACACCAGCATGAAGAACTGAAAATTTCCCCAACATGAATGTGTTTTTCCTGTGCTCTGAAGAGCAGCAGCAGAGCAAGGGTCTGGTTTTGGCCAGCTCAGTACAGGACCCATCTTTTCCTAGGACTTGTGCTGAGTTAGAGGGACTCACACATGTGATCAGGACTGCATTCCAGAGAGAAACAACTATCTAAACACTCTGACAAACCTGGGCTAGACTGGAAAGCAAAGCTCCTTCTTTGCTTCTTCCCATTTCTGTGACCAGATGCTGCTAAGCCAGTGCTGAATCAGGAAGTTGCCACTGTACAGGTGGCAGTGCCATCACCCTCATCCCCTTCACACCCTGTGGGGAACACCAGCTCAGAAAGACCCAGCAAGTGGTGCCTTTCCTGATTTCTCAGTCCTTGCTACCTAAGGATGCTCTCTGGTTCTGGGACAGTCTCTTTTTGCACCACATTATCTACATCAGGCAGGACTCGCTCTGGTTCTGGTATTCTCTGAGAGGTTTCTTCTCCTTTGTTGTTTTTTTTTTTGTTTTGTTTTGGTTTGTTTTGGTTTGGTTTGGTTTTTTGTTTTTTTTAATCTGGTTGCTCTGTCCAATTTGTCTCTGAGTCAAACTTATTCTCTGGGGTCAAAGCCCACCATGGCTGATACAGAAGCTTCATCACCCCTACAACTTTGTGTGCCTTCTTTTGGAGTGGGAAAACATGATTCTTTAAAGGGACACCTACTGCATCCAGAAGCCAGAAACTCTTGCAGACTTCAGCAGATCTTACTCCCTTTCTGCCCTGATTCCCCAGGGTGCAAAAATGGGACTTTACCTTACCAGAGCACTGAAAGAATTAATTCATGTTTATGGAATGCTTTCAATACATAGGGGGCGACCTGATCATGCTTATATTGTGATTTCCAATAATGTAATTCCATTGACATTTGAATCCCTTTTTACATTAATATGTCCAGAATTAGGGAGAAAAATATCTCTAAAGAAAAGACAGATCCCTTGTGATGAATTTAAATTACCTTGTAATTTATGACCTGAACACAATCCCTTATTTTGGTAAATAAAACTCAGATGATTTCTTGTGATGTGCATATTGCTGAAATCCCAATATTGTTGAACATATGTTGTTTTCAGTTTAGCTGCTTTTCTTCTCTCCTTCAATCAAATATGTAAGGCTTTTTTAAGGAAATTTTAAATGCTGAAAACAGCATTGATATCTTACAAGTTCCATCTGGACAAAAATATCTGTGTAAATTTTCTGCTTACCTTAGATGCTGGTTGAAGGCATAGTCCTGTTAGATGAATTCAGCTCTGTTTCTTAAGCTTGCATTATTAATTTTGCATCAAGATAAGTTATTTATTCAAAGAGCCAGCTAGTTCTTTCCTTTAAAAGTGATGTGATTTGCAGAAATGACCACACTTTTTTTTCCCCCAAATGAAGTTATGCAAATCTGATCGACTAAAGTAAATGTTTCATAAAACCAATGACTGTTTAAATTGTGGGACTAAATTGTTTGTATATAAATATTACCTTTTATATTTCATTTGAGTTTTATGTAGATGAACATATTACTTTAATGGCTGCATTTACAGAGGGAGACAGGGAGAGTCTGACTCTGAAATCCTCAGCAGCCAGATGGCTGCCTTTTCTTGCATGAGATTAAAAGATGTTTCTCATTCACAGCCCTGCTTCAGAGGCAAATTAATACAGCCAGCTAAATTGCTTGTGTTTTTGGAATAAAATTTAAAGAGAACTTTTAAAAGCAATTGGTGTCACAGGTTCCTAGAGCAGATTGCTCTCCAGGTACAGCATGCTGGTTTTAAACATTCAGTAATTAATGGAAAGTATTCCATGTTAATTGACTGCTTCAGGAAAGGGAAATATAATGACTCCTTATTAATCATGAAAAGAGACATACAGTACAGAGGCACTGCAATAATTGCACTAACGGCTGAGAAATGTTAATTAATGAAAAGAACAATGATGTAAGAAATTAGCACCATAATGCTTGCTGCTGATGGAAATGCTGCTTTAAACACATTATTTAGCATGGCAGCCACTGGATGATGCCTTATATAGCAGACACCTCATAGCCTTTCCTTCAGCAGCTACCGAGTTCCAAATATACTCTCCAAACTGCATTTTCTAAGCATTTTCAGTTTGAACTCCTGAACTCAAAACTACTCAGACACACTGACAGTGTTCAACTTATGTAAAACTATTATCCAAGTGTAAGAGAGCCTGTTAACATTTGTGTGGTGGGAAACTTCTTAGATGAGCTGAGCTAAATAGGTTTGCCAAGAAGATAACTGCATCATGACTTCTTTCCCCTTTTTAATTTTTCCACTCATTAACCAATTAGCTGTCCCCTGAAGAATTTAGAGGCAAGGAGGCTGTCATATTTGTGCCTAGTTTGATGTAAAAATTCATAAGTTATTAAAATGCAGAACCGTTCTGGCAACTACTCCACCAGCAGTAGCACGGAGGTCTCAGTCATCAACAGGTGGAAGCCCCAAGGTTCCCACCATCACTCTGCTGCACCTTTAGGACAGCAACAGGGTGAGATGTATCCCTCACTCTGAGCACTTTAGAAAAGGTCGAGCTATCAATTACAAATAAATTTCCTAAAAGCTCAAGTCTTCTCTTTTTTTTCCTATTCAGGATCAGGATTTAATTCTCATGGATGTCTTCATATCTTCATGGTAATTTCTGCAAAGAAATGTCAGCCTATGAGACATTCAAAGATTTTGGGGGAATTTTGGCCACCTAAGTCATGTGCTAGCTTGGCTGTATGACATGCAGATGGTACTTAAGCAGCAAATAAAGGTAGAATAACAACAGCTCTCATTCTAGTTCTAACATTGCAAGTGAAACACTATAGATGCAGGGAAAAAATAAAATTCTGCTAGAGAAATGGTAAATGAACATCCATCAAGCACAAAATGCTTTTAGAAAGAACACCTCTTGATAGGAAGCCTCTGTTTGCAGCAATACAAGATGGAAATACATCCCTTAAGTGAATAGCACCACAGTAATCTCAAATCTTCCTGGAGGGGCAATCAGCCCATGGGTGTATAATAACCCAACAGTGCTTTCTGTATCATAGGACAGGAACAGGAATAGTTTAATCCCTCATCCCTCTAACCCATGTGCTGCATTTGCTGATTTTCCCAGAGTAGCTCCAATATGGCCATTCCTCCACCCATGTGTCTTATTGCTCCTGAAATTTTTTTTCAGGTGGAACATCCTTGGGCTCCAAGGCGCTCTGCTCAGCTCCTTCATCGAACCCATGTACTTGCACAGCATCATTGTGGGAAGCCTGTACCACACTGGTCACCTCTCCCGGGTGATGAGCCATAGGATAGAGGACATTGGTCAGCTGCCAGCTTCCTACCGGCGCAATCAGCTGCTTCTCAGTGGTAAGCACACCCCCGCCTGCAAGGCAAATAACCCCCCTCCCATCTCTAGTCATGCTGCTGACCAACAGGAATGCTTTTTGTTTGCATTAACTTACACCCTTTTTTTTTTTTTTCCTGAAGAATATGGATTTGTAGAATGACGAAATCAATGTGTTGAAATCCTCTTTCAATAGCAGCAGCCACGAAAAAGGATCATTAATGGATACATGCTGACTAGGAAAACAACCACTGTACACTGAACACTCAGAGTGGAAACAAAAAAAGTATGACTTAGTAAAACATTTCTAGAAACCAGAGGGAAGCTTTCAGTAAATTTTAGGTTTAACTGTCTTCAGGTCCTCATGAGGCATGTGAATGCTGAGAGACACCAGTTCTGCACCAGATTAGATCCTTATTTTAATCTTTGATAATTGTTCTGTGGGAGGATTCCCTGAGACATCAATATGATGTCAGTGTCACAGAGCTGGGAGGTCAGGACATTTTAGTAGAGTACCCCATTACCTTTCTAAGTCCTCTAGGTTCCTCAGTAAGGAGAGTTCTGGTCTATACCTTATCTATTTCATGGAGGTTTTTTTGGGTTTTTTTTTTAAATATGTCCTTGTGAAAAAATTTGTTTGACTGGGGCAGAAGTGATAGTTTAGCCACTGGGGAAATTCTCAGGTTCTGTGTGGTTTAGTACATCTGGCAAGTGTAATGTGGGTGTATGTGTTGTGAGGTGAACAGGTCAAAAGGCTTATCCTTTTCTGACCAGCTGATCTCCAATTTTTAACTCTTCAGTGCAGCTGGACAAAGATTGCAATCAAGTGAGCAGGAAGCTGTGATCCACACTCTCCTTCCAGTTTATGTCCCCACCTGTTCCTCCTGCCCTGGTCCAGCATGGGCACGGCTCAGCCCCCTCTTCCTTCCCACATGGCACTGTGGTAGGGAAGAAGGAACTCACAGCTGGCCAGGAGATATCTCCCCATTTCCCAGATCTGGTTGTTATTTTGACAACACAGCCCTGGCTGGGAAAGCCACTGCATCTCCCACTGGGAAAGCAGACCTCATTCTGTGCCAGCCCTAGCACACTGTAAGTGCACTCATACATTAAGACCAAAGGCACACACAACTTCCCTGTGTCTGTAGGATGTACATGGAAACTCGCTTCAAATGTTGAAGGATCGAGAACACAAAAAGGGATTTTATTATAGTTTTCACCACAGAACAGCTATTGCTTTGCTGGGTTGGCCTGGCAGAGTAAAAGCAATGGGTCAGACTTGGCCAAAGTGTGCCTGTATGTATGTCCAAGAGTCTTTGCCAGAGATTTCAAGGGAATAAGAAATGCATTATAGGGGGCCCTTTATTACTTTAAATATCTGTATGTTTCTGGGCTGTCTTCCTCCTTTCCAGAGGTTTCTGTTTGGAAAAGCATTTCCTTCACTTTTTGGTTGTGTTTGTGGGTTTTCCTCAGCCCAGGAGAAGTGGTTGGAGGAATCTCTCTCTCTCTCTCTCTCTCTGCATTGTGTTTTGTCTTTTATGCCATTATTTGTAATCTTGCCTCCCTCCACAAATGCCGGAAAGGTGATGGTGATTAAAATTTACATTGCTGAGGTTTGTGCTACAATTCTTTTTCCTGGGAAACCCTGCCAGCAGCATATCCAGTGACTAAGGGACGGGTACTTAGAAAAAGCTTCTCCAAATGCATTAGAGACCAGACCTACACAATCTCAGCCAGGCAACTCCACCTCCCACACTTGTCTTGGACATCAGACCAGCCCAGGACTGCAGGAGTCCTTAAATTATAAGGGTGTCAGGTATTTTGCCACTTGATCATAGCAGTACAAACATTCCAATGGAGAGGAGAGTCATAGTGTGTGATGAGGTATACTGAGATTAACTCCTTGGCTCCACTGAAAAATAATCAGTGAGGTTTTCTACTCAGTTTTCTACCAGTCCCAGCCAGATGGAGCTACACTCTTCCACTGAGATTACTCTTGGGTGTAATTTTTCGAAGAAATGCCTTTTTTATATCCTGTCCTTTTAAGAGTGAGGATCTTTTAGAGGGTATCCTGATGGGTTATGAGGTTTTGCTGGGAGAGAGAGGAGAAAGAGGACAGATTTCAGGTCACATCCCACAGTACTCAAATTCATATTATTTGTGCAAAGACTTTTCTTTTTCTTTCAAATCCAACTGTCTTCTGTTGTACTCTTTTTTGTGTGGGTTTTAAGAAGGATGTTTTGCATAGAGGAGAGACAGTAACCTAGATTATTTGAGTATATTTATTATAATAATAATAATATATAATTATTATATATTACTATCGAAATAAATCAAAACAATTATTTGTCAAAAGAAAAATATGGAATAAATTTTTTTTAATTATAAAAACGTCAACTATCAGGGAATATATCCATGCTCTATATTTGTCTGTTCTGGCTCTCATGCTTTTTTCTTTAAAACTTCTTCTTTTGCAGTCAGAAAAGGATGTGAAAATATCTTCTATTTACCTAAATACATCTACTTACATATGATAGCTGGTAAGAGAAAGCATGATAGCCAAAGGAGCCCGGAGGGGTTTCCAGGCACTGGGAGCAGCCTGGGCTACTCTCATAGCCCCTGTCTGATGAGCACCCACAACCTGCTCTCCCCTCTGTGCAGCCTTTCCTTCTCTTCCTCTAGTCAGGGATTTCACAACATTTTCATTTATTTAGTGTCCTGTGGCAACTTTGCATGGCAGGGTGTTTGCTATCATGCTTTTTGGCACTCATATCCTCTAAGCTTTTGGGTGCTATCTTGACAGAGAGTGGTGCATAGTGTCAAACAGCTGATTTTGATCTGTTTGCATCTTGTTCTGTGTAGAGACGCTCGAGCAGTGCTGCAGAGCTATCTGATTTTCAAGCTCTCAGTTTAAATCCTGTTGCCTAGGTGAACTGAGTTTTAGATACAGCCTTATCTGTTATCTCAGGGGGGGAAAGAATTGAAAGAGGCATTAATACGACATGAATGTGTTTACAAATCCTGGGTGAGGTTATGACTTAGCTGTAATTCTCTTCTACACATGGTAGCAGGTTCAGTCCCAGTGACTGAGATGATTTCTGCATTTACAGCTTTGTCACCAATACAAAGTGAGTTTGCCAATATCATTTTTTCCTTTCAGAGGCCACCTTTCTCTCTGTGTGTCTGCTAAGTTCCATTTGGCTCTAGAAGCTCCCTCCCAGGGCAGAGGGGATGGGGAGAGAGGGGGCATGTCCCTCAGTGGTATCACTTCTCATGATGCTGAGAGGCTCCAGGCAGGAGCAGCAGCTGCCTGCAGAGGCAGCATCCTGGCCAGACAGACCCTGCACAGCCCTCCACTTCTCCCGAGGTGTCTTTCAGGAGCTTTCCAATCTCAACACATTCAATGGTGGGTGCAGCATTCCCACAAGCTCCCATCTCCTCCCATTCTGCCTCACACTAGCAGGTGCTCGTGGCATGCATCTGTTTTGAAAATGAGATTCTGGGCAAGGGCACTTTGGAAAGGAGGGGTTTTGATCTCTTTTCTTTAATCTCCTTCTCTCTGAACAGCCCATATTAGCACTTCTCGCTCTCTGCAAAAGTTCTTTAAAACCCTCTCAGCAGAAAATGCAAGGGACCTCTCTGTGCTGCCCTTCACCCAGCACCCAGCAGCAGTGAAAGCAGTGAATGAAACCATGAGCTGTCGCTGGAGCTGCTGCAGGCAGGAGCTGCCATTTGGAATCACAGACCCAGTCCTGGCACTGGCCTCTGCTGGGTGGCTGTGCCAGGCAGCTCCTGCCCACCAGCACAATCCTCACCTGCTGCTCAACACAGTGGCTTTTGTTGTCCAGGTCTGCAGGCTAGTGGCCCACACAGCAAATTAACAGAGGGACACAACAACTGGGTCCAGACACATTATCCAAGGTCCAAGTTTTCAAAAATATTCAAAGTGCTTCAGGTCACTCTGAGTTTTCCAGCCTTGGAAGCTCCCAGTGTTGATTCTTCTCTGCAAAAGCACTAATGAGCAGGGCAAGGCAGAGCTCACTTGTTTGCATTTGTGCTGTGCTGGAAAATAAGCCAACCACTTTCATTATTCCTCTTATTTTCTTGCAAAGACTAATCATTCCCCGGTTTCAGGTGCAAGAAATGAAAAAGCAACAAGAGTCAAGGAAAGGCTGAGCTACAGTAAATAGTTAAAAATAGACCAAAATTTACCTGATTAAAAATAACTCATGTATACACCCCTACTTGACCTTGTAGCCCTGGTCTGCATTTAGAGCCAAGGAGATCTCACCCATGAATGCATTGGCTCAGTATTGGGCTCAGATGTCCAAAATTTGCCATGTGAATGGCACTAAGGTCATGCAGTCATCCCAGGTAAACATCATTATTGCAGCTGTCTGAAATTAGATATGATGCATTCCACTTAAAGATGTCCCAGATATCACCATTAGAATGCAACTTAGCTGTTGAAGAAATTGGTGCTCCAGTACACAGTTGGAATCTTGCAGGCAGACACAAGGTGGGGACCAAGAGTGTTCTGTGCAAGTCTGTGATGTCTACAAGGTCATTATTACCTTGGATCTAATAATCTCTCTCTCTGTGATGATGAAGTTCCGTATTTTCTTATCCCCTGGGGTCAAGACATCTCCCCACAGCAAAGGCCCCCAGAGTCAATAGCAGATAAATATGCAGGACTGTGGGAAGCACACCTGGAAGAACTCATGACCAAAGCACTGTATTGCTTAATTCCTTGTAAAAACCTGTTATCCCATTAAAGTCTTTGTGAAAGATTTCACTCAGAAACCATCACACTGCTGCCAACAGCTCACACTCCAATCCAAAGGCTTTCCTTGGGGTAATGGAAAGTTTGCTTGCAAGGTGGAAAAAAATTTATAGGATTTGCTAAGTTATGTCTCCCCAAGGCACTTGTTCTGGTAAAGTTTAACCAAGGGTGACAAGAGCACGTGCAGGGCACGATGCCAGCGGTTCACTGGAGGTGTCTCCTGTGCCAGGACAACCCAGGAGCAGCCTCCAAGCAAGCACTGGAGCCTCTCTTGAGCACTCTCTGCTCACTGAGCACTCACTCTCCTGAGCACTGGAGCTTACTGGTGTCCCTCTCTCCTGCAGGGGTGAGCCACGCTGACGCCCGGCAGCCCGGGAAGTCCCCGGGCTTCAGTGTGAACTGGGTTGTGGGGAGCGCGGAGCTGGAGGTGCTCAACGCCACCACGGGCAAGAGGAGCTGCGGGGCTCCCTCGCGGCTCTGCAAGCACGTGTTCTTCACTCGCTGGGCCAAGCTGCACGGCAAGGTGGGTCTGCTGTGCTCACAGGCTTAGCAGTAGCTGTCTGCAGTCCATGGAGAGTGAGAGAAGATGAAGGCAAGAAAAAATTATGTTATTAAGTGCCAAAAGCTCTTTCCTGTTGAGAAACGAGTAGAAACAAACAAGACAGAGTGATGGTGGGGAGGGAGGTTGGAGACAATTCCACCAACAAAGTCAATAGGGAAGGCAAAGGAGCCTGCAGGGCGGGCAGGTTTGAGCACAACAAGCCCAAAGGGATTGTTCTGCTCTGCAATGCAGAGGCTGGTGGCACTCATTGCATTCTAGGCAGTGGCATAATCTGTCCTAGAAGCAGCCCTGAGCCTTGTCGGGAGCAGAAGAGACCAACTGGTCTGCGTGCCCAGGGCTTGGTCACAGTGTGGTGACACAGGTCCCAGCCTATTTCCTGCACAGCAGGTAGGAAGAGAGGCACAAAGCACTCCTGCCACCCCCAGAACAGAGGGATCCTCACAGGAACAAAACTGGGGCCGTGGCTGGAACTATGGCTGGGAGAGCTGGATTGCTTCTGGCTCACACCAGTGATGAGATTGCAGTGAGCAGGAGAGAGTAACTTGTGGCTGAGCAGGGCACTTTGCCCTTGACAAAACAAGGATTTGATAAAGGCATCACTCTCTACCTCTGGGGAACAAAGGGAACAAAGAGGCAGCCAGAGAGAAGCCACTGCTGCCAGGCCAGCTTGTGCCCACTGACACCCAGGCTGGCAATGTCACCCTCCCTTGCTGACTGGGCCAGTACATCTCCAGCCAGTAGAGTCCCACAGAGTGCTGGCACACACAGACAGAAGCAGCTTATTGCAGGCTGCATGTTCACCTTCTCCTTTAATCTGCCTCTCATCATCTCTCCTGTAAAGAGACAAGGAAAAGAGCTGTTTGCTCATCAGCTGTTTGCCTTGAGAGTGCCTTTCCCTACAAGGTTTGGCATGGTAGAGACTTGAGCACATCAGAGGAGTTTGTTTAGTCCTTCTGCAGAGCAAAGAGTGCTCCTCCTGTGTGTCCTTCCAGGGGCACTGCACACCTGACATTGCTCGAGGTAGCTCCTCATGGGTGGCTCCAGTGTTCCAACAGAATACTCAGTTTTCCCACACCAGCACAAACCCTGATGCCTGATTTCTGCCCTGTCCTGGACATATTTCACAGCATTCCCAACAATAACAGACTACAGAGGGGAAATGGGAGAGTGTGGAAGGCAACCCTTCTTTTTCTGTGTCTGGGCATTACTTGGAAGCACTGAGCTGCTCCACTTCCCAGGCTAATTTTTTTTAAAGGAGCACATACTTTAAAGATCTCCAGAAAGGATTTATTTCAATTTTGTCCATAAAAATCATCTTACCTGAGAAGTAGCATTCTGCCTTTGTAGAGCACACCAAGACCAACACTTGCTACTGCCTATGCCCACTCTAAGGCAGAGCTGTTCACCCCTTTCCTGCTCACAATGGCTCAAACCTATGTCACCAGCATTTATTGCTTCCCTGGCTTTCTGGTTGTTAAACCAAAAGCAAACACACAAAGCACAATGATTGCTTATGAAATGTAGACAGGAAGATTATACAGCTACTGAAGCCTCCTGTTTCTTTTGGCTCATAGGTTGGGTTTTTGTTTTTTTTTTTTCCCTTCCCTGATTTTTGTTCTGCAGCTGAGCACACGAGTACCAAGCCATGGAGAGATGCCATCAGTGTACAGCGAGGCAAAGCTGGTGGCTCAGACGTACCAGTCTGTTAAGCAGCAGCTGTTTAAAGCATTTCAGAGAGTTGGCCTGGGCACCTGGGTGAAGAAACCCCCAGAGCAAGATCAGTTCCTACTAACTGTGTAAATCCCTCCACACCTTTTCTACACGACTGGATCAAACCACCTGGAGAGAAGGCGAGGCAGGACGTATGAGCGGAGACAATTGAAGCAGTTTGAGATTTAATAGCAACCTCCATGGAAATATTTGCTTTTAATCCTGTATTGGAAATACATAAGTAGAAATGTGTCTGATGCACTGAACTCAACTTTAGAAAACCGCTTTTTCATGATCCCTTCCCAAGAATGTACCTGCCCAAATTATAATGCCACCCCCCATCAAAATTCTGCTTTTTATTGTTTATTGCTGTTGGTTATTACTGATTTGAGGTGTTAGTGGGCCACCTGCCTGATCCAAAATAGACTTTTGTTTTCTCTTACACAATCAGTGCAAAAGTCATCACTGAATAATGGAAAATAGTGAGCAGAGATGTAAGTACCCCAGGCACACAGCATGACAGCAGGTCTCAGAGCATCCATAATCATCCAAAAAAAAGGTTCCTAACCTCTATGCAAAAATCATCCTGTAAACTGCCTAAATCTGTGACAAAAAATTTGGACCTCAAATAAATGCAGCATTTTTAAAACTGATTTTTCCACTGCTGGCTCTGAGCACAAAGCTAGCATCAGGATGCCCTTGGTTTTTACACTTATTCCCTCTGACACCTTGGACAAGCCACTTCACAACAAATCTTCAACTCTAGTCACAATTTGCATGCTGCAAATTTTACTTGTCTGGCCCAGTTAATCTCACATGCCTTTCAGACACCAGCCAGGATGCAGATCCTTGTCAAGGGGGCGATTCACCCCCGTGCTGCCTGCAGGGGTGCGCAGCTCTGCAGGGGCTGCCAGTGAGGAGCAGTGTGACCGTGCTCCTGGCTCAGCTACCTAAGGGCAGGCAGGCTGCAGCAGGACCCAGAGCCTCAGGTCTCTCCTGATGACCCAGAGCTCTGAATTAAGTGGGTGTGAGCTCGGGATGCTCCATGAATCTGAACAATCACCAGGTTGGGTACCCACAAGTAAGACATCCCCAGACAAGAGAGCACATTTGTTGCTTGGCTGTTCTCTGCCTCAGCTTCTCCACCTGTTGAATGGGGATAATAATAACTGCTTCACATCTAAGGAACTTGGCAGGATCAAAATGCTCTGGTCATATGCAACAGTGTAAGACAGATTTTGTCACTCTTGCAGTGAGTTTTACCTCTCCACACAGTCCAATTGACACAAGCACAGCAGAGGCAACCAGAGGTTTGGGTCTAACTTAACACATGAGCTTTCAGATTCTAGCTCTGTGTAAATGCCAAGTGTTATTATTACTCTTCATGCTCATCTGCAGCCTGAAAAGCAGATGGGTTTTTCACTTAGGAGACAAGGATCACCCAACATTTAAATATTTTCTTCATAACTGGGCTGGGTCTGATACAATCTCGTCTTCGAACCATCCCAAACCTCATCAGAATGCACAGGATACAGTCATGGGAGAACTGAGCTTTGGTAGTCCCACTGCAAAACCAACCTTCAAACGCCCTGTACATTTCTCTAAGTTCCTGGGTTTTTAGATGACAGGATTTGCGGGTATATAACTACTGTTTTCTTTTTATTCCTGTGATTGTCTTTAAATCTGTATATAACATGCTGCTACTGATTTGTGATAATTGTCTTGGTATTTTCTCAGACCTGTCAAGCTGAGTTACTTTTCAAACAACACAAGGCTCATATTTTTCCATGTAATTTCCTTTACACGGGAAACTGTTCCTATCAATAAAGATAGATGCTCTTTGTATAGGGTTTATCATGTTTGGAGAGCCATATACAGTAAATACATTGTTTATTGATGCCCACAATAGAATAGCTACAGTATTTTGATGAGATTTTATTTTTAGATTATAAACTACAAGATGTATCTATAGTGTCTTGTATAAAAACAATTGTGATAAACTAGAATTTTTAAATTAGGTAAAACAAAGCTCTCCCCTTCTGGAAACCTTTTCAACAAAATAATACATTCCATATTAACTACCAAAAATATTTTAAAAAAATATCCTTAGAGTAGAAATAGCTTAAAAAAAAAAAAAAAAAAAAAGGCAACCAAAAACTGAGTCTTTTCAATAATGGAAACACTTTGTGGTAACCACTTTGTCAATACTTTGACCACTTTGACAGCTCTTCTGATTAACATTTGAATACTTTTGGCACCTTCTGGAGCTTCCAGGTACCTGCACATGGTCCTGTCCTCTAACACAGCTGTCGCTGCAGACCTCCAGTGTGGTTGGGTAGCAGATGTGCCCGGGGGGAGTGGGCAGGGGCCAGCCCGTGGCTGGAGGTGTGGGAGAGGCTGCAGGAGACATTGGCTGTGGTGGCCTCCGGGGCTCTGGCTGCTCCCACCAAGGAAGAGAAACCACAGGGCAGCCAGAGAGGAAGACAAGGTTTCTCATGCAGAGATCCACAGAGCAGGGGGAAGCATGTCTTCTGCTTTTCCTCTCTGAGTTAGTCCTTGTCTAGCACACATGAGACCTCAATGGCTCTTCCTTACATCTCCCTGCCCTCACCCATCCTCCTCCAGCCATGGCATGATTTCAACCCAACTGATGCATTATAGTTCCACCAGGCTGGTGTTGCAGCTACTGTGACAACAAAGCACCACTCCTGGTTATTTTTAAGGACATAGAAAAACGTGTGGCAGGATGAAATGATCCTTTGTTGCAGGAAATACATAAATGCAACCCTGGATTCAGCTGCCAAAATGAGTTTAGTAGTGGGGACCAAACTGAGTCCCTGCTGCAAGTGGGCATCAGCTGATCTCAGTGGAGTTGCACCTGCTGGCACTAGGGTTGAATATGACCTTAAATATCTACTTCTTCTCATTATGTGCAACAACAGCGTGATGGGACATCATCCCAGAAGCACACATGACTGACACACAGCATTTCCTGAAGCAAAGGAAAAATTGCTCAGTAGTAATTCTTTAGTGAAGATTCTGTACATAACATGCATGAGTGAATGGCAATACTGTACTAATGGATGTACATTTGTAATATTTGTAAAAAAAAATAAACAAAAAAGATGACAAAAGAAAATAAATCCGAATTTACATATGTGAATTTGCTGCTAAGTTCTGTAAATTGCACTTCAGTGATACCTGATAAGTGAATGTTTCTGTTAAGTGAATAAAATGCCAAGTAAAATTGTTCTTTCACTGTTTATTGACCATTTTTCACTATGACTTAGCAATCAAATGGAATGTGCTCCAGAATGCTAGTATGTATTTTTTACACACACACCTCCTGTACAGCTACAGATATCTTCTTGTTCAGCTTGGATATGATGCAGTGTGGGAACCACACATTCGTGTTGAGAGAGGGATGTGCCTGCTCATGTAGATGAAGCCATAAAAGGACACAGTATTTACCTGAAGAAGTGTGAGCTGGATACATCTCTAATTTGATCCTTCCACATTACTCTCAAAGATCTTTCTTAATAAAATTTAATACATTTTTTTCAAACCCACTGCATGGGACTTGCTGCACAAAGCTGTTAAGAAAATGCAAGTGATGAACAAAAGGTCACAACATATCTGCAGATTTCTGCTTCATTGATGGAATGGCTTTGGATCATTCTTGCTTTGAACAATCAGTATTCAGCCACAGCAGACTAAACTCACACTGAGCCCAAACAACACCATGCCCACAAATGTTTAACCTGGAGACCATTTCCCTTTGCCAGTCCTTATAGAGATCACTGGTGTCAGCAAAACATCCAAAGCTTTTCAGCAGCCACTGTGAAAACACGAATACACCAAAAGCAAAAATTTTCAAGAAAGAGATTTCCCTCTGTGAAGATGAGGTTCCAAGATGAAATTGAGCCTGACAGCTCACAGGGAGCCCCACGAGCTCACTGACCCCACAGATCTTTTCTTGCTCCTGTTGAAGAAGTCGGTGCTAGACTCTCACAGACCATCCCATGGGTTTCCTTCCCCAGCAGGTGCTGTCCATAGCTTTATTTTCAAGCTAAGACTTTGCTGCAGTTTCATTTCCTCAGATCTATGTCATTAGGTATTGGGGCAGGATAAAGAGAGGCAGGGAGAAGAAAGAATTGGCAAGGTGAAGTTGCTTGTGTGGAAAAAAGTCACTGTGAGCTGACCCAAATCCATCACAGCCATGGTGGACTTTTGCCTTGAGCTGCAGCTGCTGCTGCTTGACCATGGCACACACTGTGACACAAACTACAGGGCAGTCATGAGGGCAAACTGGATTCCATGTTTAATCCCATTAAATTTAAAGGGTAACCACCTGAACTTCATTTAAAACTTTACAGTGTACACCCCAGCATCACCAGGCACACTTACTTCTTTTTCAACTGTATATTGGAAAAACAGCAGAATAAAACATGAACAAGCTGATATATTGACTAATAGAGGGCTTCACAGAAGTGCCTGCATCTGAAACAAAATAAATAAGTCCTTTTGCTGCAGTTAGACCTTGACAGTCATACTCGTGTGTTGAAGAATGGAACAGCTATCTAAGAGCTTTTAAAGCTTTGTGATTCATTACCATTGTGCCTATTGCCCAGCCCTGAGACCTGATTAGTTTGTCTGGTTTCAGCTTGATCATGTGGATAGCTGGAAATCTGAGTAAAGTCTGAGATTTTTTTAAAGGGTAGTGACAGTCTTCTTGGAAAAAAAAAAAAAAAAAAAAAAGGAAAAAAAAGAAAAATCAAACAACCCAAATACATACTAGCAAATGCAGACATAGAGACATATGGCTTCTTACTACTCCAAGGCCTCCTGAATAAATGACATGGCTTGGAAAAGGGGGATTAATAATTATTGCCTTTACAGCAATGAAATAGTTCTGCTCAAATGCTTTATTCAACCTGGCTTTCCTGGTAATTAAATCCTCTATTAGAGAAGTTTATGTTCTATTTTATCAACTTCCTTTGCAATACAGAATTACTTCCACCAGACCATTAAAGTCTTGTTCTGCCACAGAAAGGAGAAGGTCCTGTTCATTCTCCTCTGGCCCTGAACAGGTGCCTTTACAGCCTATAATGCCATTAAATGATCCAAGCCAAGAGGCAACAGCTCCTTCCTTTACACACAATGTTACCAAAAAGTACCTCCTGCAAAGAGAAATAGCTGTGTGAAGAATGGTAGATGCTGTCAGGTTTGACTCTTCTGACAGACTGACTGGTGCCCTCCATCTCTTAGACCCTCACAGCCCAGCTCAGGTGTTAGCACAGGCTGGGTTTGACACACTCTGAAGGAAGAGCTGTAGGTGCAGTTCCCTTCCTTCCCAACTACACCCAGCCCTCCCTTCCACGGCACACTGTTTGCTAGTTATTGCTTTTATTTCATTTTATTTTAACAAGTAAATTCAGGGGGTTATACTCACTTAAGAGTGCTAACTCTAGATCTATAAGACAACACATTTCTACTGTGGGTTCTAAAGTGAATTGTTTTTTTCTAAAGCAGATGGCTTGTTCATGTCTCAGTGGTAAAGGGAAGTATTTTCAGGAATAACAACAGCATTCCTTTCACACCACAAACTACTAAAATCCTGACCATGACATAGAACAGTGGGACCTGCTCCTAAATCTTAGGTTTCAGTGGGAGATTATCAACTGATAAACCCCTCAGGCTGTTGGCAAAAGGGACAGCCAAGAATTGTAATCCCAAAAAATGAGCCAGTTGTATGCAGAGGATGTGTCTCAAGTTTATATAATTTCATAATTACAGAAAAAGCTACATTATTTGTGATTATAATTTAATAACCTCTTGGCATGAGAGAGAACTATAAAGAATTGATAACATAGCTGTTTTGGGGATGCTCACCTGGGAACAGAGCAGACTTAGGCTCTTGTCTAGATTTTACCCTCAGAAGAGAGGAAGAGATGAACAAGTGAAGACCCCCAGAGGAGGGAGCACTTTCCCTCCAGGTAACAAGTTCACACCACAGTAAAAACCTCCTTTGTTCCAGGATCATTTTCACCTTAACCGCTTCATCCACCCAGAGGATAGGTGTTTAGCTTGAATCCATTTCCTAAATTCCCTGCACAGAGAAAAGTGTCTCCAAGATGATTTGTGCCACATAAAACTGTGTCAAAGAGATGTGGAGAACTTTTCTCCTCAAGGGTCTCCAGGTGACTCCAGTCAAAGTGTCTGCAAGCCACAGGACTTTCTGTTTCTCCATTGTAAAAACCAGTGACTATTCCCTGTCACAGAAAGATGTCTTTTGAGTATCAATGCTACCAGGCTTTAAGAAAAGGATACAGTACATATATATATATATATATATGTGTGTGTATGTGTGTGTGTGTGTGTATGTATGCATGTATGTATGTATATGTATATGTAATGCTAAAACAACCTGTTTTTGGTGTTATAGTGAATATTTTCAAACTATGGAAAAAAGTTGTTCCAGCCATAAGTTTTAGTGCCTGACTAAATTAACATATACTGCAACTACTTAGAAGTTTGCTGAAGGATTTTATTCTTAACATAACTTTGCTGCCATTGAAAACATTGAAAGGGTCCTTACTGGCAACAAAAGGTAAGTAAATACCAAATTCATGTTTCAGCCTGAGAGCTAAGAGTATTAAGGCCATGTGAATCTTTTTTTTGTGCCAAATCTTCGTTCCTAGCCCTGACACTTCTGTGCACACTGGAAAACCAAAATCATACATCACTGCCATCTGAGCCTTTGCATTAGAGCTTCCTTGTGGTGGCTCAGCATTTCCCAGATTTTTTTTTTTTCCATCTGACCCAGTACCTCTTTGACCCTCTAACAAGGGAAAATACATTTGAAGAACCTTTCTCATTGTTTAGAACATTTGCTGTACAAGTTCAGCTCTGTTTTCTGTGTGCAGCTTTCCTAAAATATTCTTTTATCTTCTTTTGCAGTTACTTAAGGGGTGAGGCAGAGATCAGAAGTAGCTAAATTGTACATCTATTTGTCTCATCACCTGCTGATCTTTCTTGGAGAACTGTGGCAAAAGTGAAGACTGAATCATTCTGAAAATAACCCCTTTTTCACTCAAGGAGGGATGTGGAGATAACTCTATCCCAAAAAATGTCAGTGAAATGCAAGAAAAAACTATTTTGGCTCACTACACTATGGGATTGTTCATCTGCCAGCTAAATGCAAAGGATTTCAAAGGACTTAGAGTACTGCAACTGAGTAGTATTCCGTTTATGAAGGGAATTGGGGGTTAAGGTCACAGGATAAAGGTACATGAAAATATTTCATCACTCCCTCTCCTTGTGCTCTCACAGAGCAACTCAATGATTTGCACCACTGGGCACCGAATCAGCCTGTGAGTGTCTCCAGACAAGGCTGCCCTGAAGATTACCCTGTGAAATGACATTAAACTGGTGAAGCATTTTAGTGGTTATGGGATTGGCCAGGGAGTGCCATATTATAGTCCTGCTGCTAATTTCTCCCCTCCCTTGTCATTCTTCCCACAGTTTCATGGGAAAAAAGCTCTATTCGGTCGCTGCAGGTAAGATTAGACAAAACTTTCCTGGGAAGATAGAAAGGAAAATTAGAGTGGTCCCCCCTGCCCATCACAGCAGTGCAGTTCTGTCCCAGGACCAGGTCCATAAAAGCAACTTAATTTTCCATAAACATACTCAGTTTTTCACTGCTGAGTCTTTCTCCTTGCCAACTCTCATTACAAATTTACCTGGCAGAAAGATGCACAATGATGTCCCAAATCTACTGTTTACAGAGCCGTGGTGCCACTGAGGTCAGGCACTTTTGTGTTCCCCTGCTAGCACTGCCAAGTGCCTGCTGCTAATATAGATAAATGTAGAACAACACATGGAGAAACAGTAAAGCAAGCTAAAAATACACCTTAAACACAGCACTTCTCTGCATCTTTTTCAGGGAGGTTTGCAAGAGTTCAGCTGTTACTCTTATTACTGGCTGCATAGTTTGACACTTTCTACCCCTAACCTGTCATTTTTACTGCTGGAGGGGTCCTAAGCCACACAGGCACAGGTTGCTGCAGAGGTGCTGGGTGTGGAAATTACTTGGGTTGTCACTTGCTGCTTTGTCTCACGGCTGCAGCAGCTGCAGAGCTGTGCAGGGTCCTTTGCCTTCACCCAGCCCTGCTGCCACCTCCTCACCCTCTGATGGGAGCCTCCACCACAGGGGACTAACGTGTGACAAGACAGATTGTGCTTCTG